ATCCCTAAATGCATCACCTTACACTTTTCACTATTAAATTTCATCCTATTTCTGATACTCCAATTCAGAAATCAATGCAGCAGATGTTGATTTAGCGGGTCTAGTGAAGACCCGCTAAATTGACTGCAGAGCGCTCTCTGGTCGACTCCGGTACTCCAGCTTCCCAAGAAGAGTAAGGTAAGGCGACCAGAGAGCGTCTCCCATCGACACAGTGCAGTGAAGACACGGGGGTAAGTCAACCTAAGCTACATCGACTCCAGCTACATTATTCACGTAACAGGAATAGTGTAACTTAAGTCGACTTACCCCAGTAGTGAAGACAAGCCCATAAAGTCTCAGTCTAGGCCTAGGTGAAGTCATAACTATTGCTGTTTCTAAAGTATTAATAGTTGACTGACAGGGAGAGATGTAGTTTTGTACCTCTTAAGAAAATCTGTTCGTGTCTATTTATTGTTTTGTCTACAAATTACTGTTGCACTCTGTGAAATGAAGAGTATTGCCCTTGTCCAAATTTTTGTGCCTGAAAGTGTACTTAGGAATGTTCAGTTGCTTAATCATTTTGGGTTGTGGGGTTTGTGTTTATATTCCCACATTTGGGAACCTTGGATGTAGCTGAAATACCTTTCACTGAGAAATTTATATTGGCATCTACCTCCAACTAGTTAAACTTTTTTTTTCATTTAGTAAAAGTAAAATGCAAACACAGATAATGGTAGCGTACCCACATCTGACATCAGACTGGAAGGGAGTAAAGCCATTTATATGGAATCAAGTGTTTTGAGGCCACTCTGGCTACCACTTTCTTAATGACCTCCTGTGACGAAGTGGCTCCCCTAAAAACATAGGTTAGAGATTGGATGATAACTGGTGAGGTTGCTGGCATCAAGAGAGGGCTTTCTGAGTAGTGACCTCACGCTGTTTCTTTAAGGGCACTCAGCTTCAATATGGAGGAAAGTAGGATGGACTAAAAACTCCTCACTAGCCTACAGCCATGAGTCAAGTTTGTAGCTCAGTAATGATTGACCACCGAGTTCTAAACACATGTAGCATAAACTTCAATGAAAGAAAGTGGAAAATACCTCACCATTGAAGGTGGCACATATGTATAATCTCCTGCTTAGATTAATCTCCCATGGCGCTAAACAAATCAGCCCAGGGAAGACTGATATTTTCAGCTAACAAGTAGAAAACTCCACACAGCAAGAAACTGCATAGAACAAAACAAGTAAAATTCACTAGATTACCAACAACTCTGATAAATTCTGCTGAGCACAACTTTGTTTATGCTGTAACACCAAATAACTACTTTTTTGCTTGTATCAGAGCCACTATTTAGGGAAAAAAATAAGAAGCCCTCCTTCCTGTAATCACCTTCCATGTGTTTTTTCACCACTTGTTCTCTGTCTTGCTTCCTTGTTGATTCACTAGTCACAAGTTCTATTCTGTGTGTACACACCCACCCACCCATATGAGATGAACTTTATTCAGATGAAATGGCATAGCAATAAAACCTTTGGTCCAGTCATTTTTGGTCCATGGTTATCTAATAGACCAGCAAATGCATGCATGTAATGTCTTGAATTTACCAATAAGATACCATGACAGAAAATTTGAATTTCAGAATAGACTGCAGTTTGGGCAGACCTGCTTGAGCAAGTGAGATATGTTGAAAATTACCATCTAATCTCTTTTTTTTTTACTACTTTTAAAATAAAAAATGTTAACTCTTTTTTTTTTTAATTATCCCCTCATTAGTGTTTACTTTCACAACCTAAATTCTGGGCCATTCAAACTTCAGCCTTACTTCTCCGGACAAAGCTTGAGAAAGGAAGCACTCGTCGAGTGGAACGGGCAATGAGGCAGACTCAGGTAGGCCTTCCATTGTTACTGCCTCCAATCCTCATACACATTCTCTTGCAAGCATTTAGATAGCCAACTTTGAAAGAAAGCTAGCATTTTTCAAAGTATTTAATTTTGTAAATAAAAACACTATAATCCTTTGGAAGGTTGAAACCAGAACCTGTTTCCTTAACTTTTCTTCTTTCTGTGACATTCAAATGGTTATTTTGTAGTGGTTTGTGAATGCAAAACCTATTAGCTAACAAAATCCACAAAACATTTCAATTGTGTGGTATGTTCTCTTACCTTTAATTCTATACAACTTAATAGGGAAATTTAACCTTTCTGTGGAG